AATATGACACATCTGCAAAGATTCTTATTTCTGTGTACAGACGTACAATATTACCCTATCCAAAGCACATACTTGGAATCAGCACGACGTATTGCATCTCCTGATAATAGAAGGTACTCCTTTTGCACCTTGTACGAAACGAAAAAGGTCTAGTAGTCTAGCTTACTACCATCCAACATGAGACAACCTCAGCGCAGTGACAGCGCTAAGCCTGAACAGACCTTCTAATTACATGAAAATGCTCCTCAGCCTATCGAGTGTTTATGATGATCTCGTCTTTTCTCGCCTTTTTTTCTAAGTCGAATTATTGATTTTACAAAAGCCCATAGGGTTTTCGAGGTAAGTCGCGTTTTTCTCTCCCATAAGAGCACTTTTTCCATAACATAAAGTCATATTCGGAATCACCGTGAAAAACTACGAAGAATGATATATAGCTTTTTAATTTTTCTGCAGAAATATTTTTGGTCAAACTGAATTATACAGTTGAAAGCCTGTCCGCAGCAAATTTTGCTTAGGAAGTTGGATATTTATTTTAGCAATAGTACACAAGTGTATAAACACATTTTTTTATAAGTTTTCGAATATGACCTCTTCAATAGTGAGGTTTTCGAAATGTAAAAATATTATTTATGGGTTTTCCAGAGATCCGCTCTCTAGAAAACCCACAAGGAATTACTTCTGAGTTCTGAAAATCTCATCATTAGAAAGAGCATATTCGAAAACCAATAGAAAAACATGTTTATAGGCTTTCATATCAGTTCTACAGCATATGTCCGCCTGCTCTATAGAAAAATGCCCACTGTGCCCTCATACTGTAAACATTGAAAACTTTCTCATGTTACACGCCTATTGCAACAAGCTCAATAATCTTTATCGCTATAATAACTATAACAGAAAACAGGTGTTGCATGTTTTTTTATTTTTCGCAGTAACTGTTTTCATACAAAAACTTCCAGTCATATGCAATAAAACTTAAAACATTGCTCTATCCAACAAAAAAACAACCTTGAAGGTTAATTAAGAAATGACGAAGATATTCACATTTTGTTTTTCGTCCGGACTTTTGGAACACTCTGTAAATCAATCACACATGTGTATAATAGTTTTAACCGTTGTCATGTTTGTAAACCAGAATAACACTCACCATCGAATTTAATGCCCACCATCCTCACTGGATTCACTCGTATCAGCAGCGTCGTAGATTAGTGTATCACATTCTCTTAGTTTAATGTTGACCACTATTTCACCGACTTTAAATTCCCGTTTTTTTAGTTTAACAACTTGAAATGCTGCACGAGGTGTTATCAACACTTCTTTTTCGTCTGAATATTCTGATATTTGTTCAATATCTAAAGCTGTTTGACTGTTCCTTATAATGTATGTACAGAGGGTTGGATATTTAATTAGTTTTCCCGTTGAATTTTGACGTAATTGATCTTGAAGTGCAAAAAATTTAGCATTTTCACGTTCTTTTGATGTAGACAAAAATGATTTATTAATAAGTAGAGTTTTCTTTTTATATTGTGCAATATCTTCTTCTAACAATATCATTCCTCGATACGTTTTACCAATGAATGAATAACTCTTAAATTTTGGATGATGTGCAATCATTGCTGCATAACCACCTGGTCCATGCCAATAACGGAAATATTCATCGCGTATTTGATCATCATCACTCGAATAGTTGATCGTATTCAGTGTTGCTAATTCTCGGTTTAATGCTTCATAAAATCCTGTTTGTGCAGTGTATGCTTTTAGCACAAGGGTAACATCATTTTGTCTTGCTGCTTCATCCATAAAAAATTTGATTATATCCATACCGGATATGTAATCAAGTTTCGTCTTTAAATAACGTTTAATATCAGACAAATATAATCGGTTATCGGCTATGCATACATCTTTGAACCATTTTTCTTCTTTTTTCTTATATTTATTGACATTTTTGCTTGCAACCGGATCGATAATATTCCATTCAACTGATCCCGAATACCCACCAAAACGATTGTTTCCACCTGTGCGTTTAAATAATTGTTTAATCTCAAGTGTTTGTGCTTCTTCACAGGGTGTCAAATTATGTTTGTTCTTGAGTGATCGGATAGCACCTTTGTCCAGAAGTAATTTGACGATTTCATAATGGCCATAGTAGGCAGCAACATGAAGTGAGGTACTGCAAATTGGCTCTGGTTCCAGTCTATTTATGTCTGATAGTGACGCTGTTTTAAGCAATTGTTTCACAACGTCAATTTTATTTGCACGGCAAGCGAGATACAACTCGCTAACAGATAGGCTAAATATCGATGAATTAGCAGGTGGTAGTGGAACTGTGCCAGTATCCAACACTGTCGCATTCGATTCTCGGTTCCCCATCAGAAGTTTAACCTTCAAAAAAATGTGCGTCTATAACTTTATCTTGTATAATTATATATAACTGCTGGACGAGCAATGAATTTATTCTTTCTTATCTTAGTATCTTTCTTTCTAAGTAGAAAATTTATGACAACAGAATAAAGGTACGTATAGTAAAAACTTTCGCTGTTTGTTGTTGGTGCAACATTTAGTCTAAACTGTTATTGCGATTTTTTAATTATCATATCATTCTTAATATAATCACTTGACGTTTGACGTTTCAAACAGTAACATATTGCAAAAGCGTGGTTTGATCGAGCATGAAAAGTGCAGCCAAGACTAAGGATAAAGAAACGCAGACTGACCCTGTAATTATCCTCCCAGTATTTGCGTATTCAAATGTATTTGACTCTCCTCCTACAGCAGCCGTAGCTGACAACGCTTATGAAATTAGGAATTATATTTCATGTCCAACGAATTACGTCGATCGTTACAAAACAGCACCATGGAGAACTATCTTCCACGTCGAACCAGGATACATCGAAGCTGATTATCGGGATGTTGTACAAGAAGAAAAACCGTTGCAACTGTACAAGCCCATTTACGTAGCAATTAAAGGAGATGAATCGGAAACATGGGAAGTTGGCGATGAATTTGAGTTCATTCGCGAGAGTTTGTACACCGCAGATGAGATCGTGCTTAGACATTTGCGTACGTTAAAAAATGTAACTATAAGCAAATCAATCGTCGAACTGGATGTTGAAACGCCTCTGAGATTAGGTATTCGAGACCGTGGCACAGTTGAATGCTGTCTATTAAAATCTAATGTAGAGTTTTCGTATTTAATACGTCGAAGCGATCTAGATGAAAATGTTTTTGTACTGAGCGTTAATCAGCCGAAAAAGCAGAAAGATACCCTGTTATCTCATTACGTGATTCGAGTCAATAAAGAAAACCAACGATTCTACTTAGAACAAGAACCAAAGTTACGTACTCGATTTTTTCCGACATTCAAGAAGATCATAAATGACTCTCAAGTACGAAAAATGATACCACTTTCGAAACCTTTAGATCGTGATTTGATCATAAATGAAAATGAATTATGGCAAATAGATTACAGTCAGTTAAAACTTGAAAAAAAAATAGGTGAGGGCAATTTTGGTGAGATATTTAAAGGAATATGGGAGAGAAATAAGGACGAGAAACCTGTTGAAATAGCAGTTAAACGATTGATTGTGACGGATGAATCGTCAGACGAGTTTGCTCGAGAAGTCCAAATGATGAAATTTCTGCGAAACGATCATCTTGTATCCTTGCTAGGAATATCGTTAGATCCGATAACAAATCAAAAGTTAATGATAACAGAGTTTATGCAAGACGGGGATTTGAAGAATTGGTTAGAAAGACAATCGAAATTGCCCCCAAATGAAGTTCTAATTGATTACTGTTTGAACATATGTCGCGGAATGTCGTATTTAGAAAAACGACACTACACTCACTGTGATCTAGCCTGTCGAAATGTGTTGTTACGCGGAAAACAAGTAAAAATAGCCGATTTCGGCATGACAAGAATTATTAAGGAAAAAGAGTATAAAATAAAATCACTTCCAGTTCGTTGGTCAGCACCAGAAGTGTTGGACTCTAGCGGTTCCAAGTTCACAACGAAATCCGACGTTTTTGCGTTTGGCATATGCATGATTGAAATATGGACGAAAGGAAACCTGCCATATGCTACATTACCAAATCATAAAGTCATCGATAAAGTGAGACAGGGAGATATACACGAACGACCTGATACCTGTCCACAAGTATATTATGATGGTATTATTAAAAAATGTTTCCATTTCGAGCCAGATGCTCGTCCGTCATTTCGACGATTAGTGGTTGTATTCAAAGCAATACGTTCAGATAAATTTGAAAGTGAAGATGCCAGTGTTAAATCAAATATGAATAAATCAGCTCCTCAGTCTACTCGTTTACCTGAGGCGATTTATCCAACTAATGACTTGCTTTACAAAACGGTAACTAACAAAAATGATGCTAAGGAATCTCATTATATTACAGGATTATCTCCAGAAAATCAACTAGAATTGAACTACGAACCCTTTGTGTATGCACCACCACTGCTACCAAGAAACCCAGTAACATTGAACTATGCATCGTCTAACGTATATGCACCACCACTGCCACCAAGAAACCCAGTAACATTGAACGATGATAATCTTAAGTCCTACAGAACCGATAAAATCTATGATAAGCGACAGACTACTGAGCAAATGTCCAATAAACAGTCCAGTTATGATCGTGTCGCACGATCCGACACAATAAACAAAGAATTTAATCCATATGTTTCCGCATTAAGTCTCTCTAAGTCTGTTTTGAATGGAAAGAAGAGTGGTGAGACAACGAAACGCCTGTTAAAGCGTGAACCAACTGCTCGCGAATCAACAAATGAACGGAAATCAAATAAGCCAGTGACACCAGAAACTGTTCGAAAAGGACCACGTGGAGTTTGGCTTTGATTCGACAATTCGAAAGATTATGACAAAAGATAAAAATCGATTAAGAAAGAAATATGCATCCGTTATCAAAAGGTAATTGATAACTGTGCAAACGGTTTTTAAAAATATTTTGTTCATCATAAGGCTGACACTCTTCTCTTTCGAATAGTATCACATTAAAAAAAGAAATTACTCTTCGTTCCAAAAAAAGAATGCCCTCTACCATTCTTCGAATAGCTTTTGATAGATATCAGCTAGAAAGCGTCGGCTTTAGCCATTCAGAAGAGGGGACTTCGGGGCATGTTTTCATGAGCAGAATCTTTTCAGTCAGGTTTTCTAGAGGATTACTGAACAACCCGATTGTGCTTCGGAAACTTCCAGTAGGACTATATCGATTTCATCCCAAAAATCGATAACGTAGAGGATCCACTTCAAAATTGGAACTAACGACGGAACCTCTCGAGGTGATTAATCGCTTTTTGAGCCGATATTTTTCCCACACGTAGGGGATCTCTAGACTAGAATAATCCTCAGTTAGTTCGGTTGTCTGAACTTCTGGAGTCGAGTTATGAATTTTTCATTTTTTTGAAATAAACGCAACAGGCTCACTGAATCCATATGATATCTACCACGGTACACAGAAGTACCGGCGCAAAGA